GTCGGGGACAATTAAGTTGCGTCGTTCGGTTTCTCGAAATGGAATTGGCTTCGACTCGCGGAAATCTCGAAGTTAAATCGGCAACATCTCGGAACCGAAACGACGATGGTACGTCGCCGTTCTTGCGAAATACAGGAATAGAGCATGGCTGCACTTTCGATTCCGAGGCACCGGGATTAGCGGCCGATGGCACGGATCTTCCGTACGGAAAGCAAGGGAGACGAGAAACCGTATGTTTCATCGTCTCACTCTAACGAATGTATGTCTATACGCACATACACATTCTATACTTTGCATGTAAGTAATGCCTATTTTCCAAAGATATACGTTATGTGAAACATGCACTCTTTCGCAATCACTGAATCACAGGCGATTCCTACCTTCGTATTCGCTCGGACCGGTTTTCTCCCCATTCTTTCACTCTTGTCTCCTTATCGCTCGATTCACGCGTTTCTATGATTTCTTGATCAAGCAAATTAATCATAGGAGTTTTTTCAGCAAGAATACAGTGAATCTATGATTACATTTACACGACATCCTTAATCGGGTTTAATAACATCCGTAGTTAAACTGAAACTGGTCAATCACAGTCCATTCCTCCGAGGAATAGCTATGATTGGCCAATTTCATAATTATGGATGTTATTAAACTTTATTAAAAGTGCCGTGTAACAGAGATTATAATTGTAACAGATACAATATGATTGGTCTATACGTTTAGATATATTCATAAGGAACCAAAGTAGGACCAACTGTATTGAAAAATTCTACAATAGTTGCTTTCTCTGTTGAACACAATCATTACCTTGTTTAATTCAATTAAAGAATAAAGTGTGTTGCATGGAAAGGATAGTTCTAAAGTAGCTAAAAAATTAGCTAGATACAAATCTGAAAAGAATTTTGTTTGGATCATCAACATAATTATGTAGAAATAAAATAAATAAAGGACTCTAGAAAACAACAAATAACAAAATAATGGCCATAGGAGCAGCGCAGGAGACGGTGCGCAAATCAACAAAATCGATATTCAATACAATTTGCTACATCATATAAAGTCAGTATTAACTTGGTCTGCGAACTGTGAACAATACATTTCCGAAATAGGTCAACGTGAACGCGAAAAGTATATTTACATCCATCAAGACTCAATTACTATCTAGGCCCTTTGATGCAATTTACGCATGATAAACTTATAATG